GTAACTTCTAGAATATTAACCCTCAATTCATTTATGGTTCGAGATTTAATGCCAACTATGTTTTAGATTGAAGAATCAACCTGTTATAAATTGACCATTTGAGCCCAACGGAAAAATTGCATTATCGTTTCATTATTGATGAACTTCGAAACTTGGGAGCTGGAAGTCATAGGTGAAGTCCATAATATGAGAAACATCATCCAGAAAATAAATTACTAGCTAGTTTTTTATTTCACAGAGGTGCAAACATATCTTTTTTCTTTTCTTTATTAATCAACTAGGTACCTGAGTTTTCTCATTTTCCTTCAAGGATCAGTATTTTTTGGTAAAAAATGCTTAAGAAATGAAAATGAAAATATACTGGGTACAGCATCTGGTTTCAATAACCTAGCAGTACCTGGTATGTATGAATAAAATAATCAGTTGGCAGGAAATGCTCTCCACAAAGCTGGCTGGTTTTAGATGGAGTCCAACTCTCTCTACGAACTGCCTTAATCCATAATTCAAGAATGTCTGAATGGAAAACTGCAACAAATAATATTACTTAATATGTTCATGGAAAAGTCATGGAAGTATTTGACTTTGACAAATAATATAGGTATAGTTTTTGAACATATTCTGACACTGGGAACATTGACACCTAACTGAGTAACTGATGACCTTTTCAAGAACTATATTTTCCAAAAATCTGAACAATTTTCAACGTACCCATAGAATGACAATTTCCTTTTGTCTTGTTCGTTCTTGCATCCAGAGGTGACACCTGACACATTAAATCACCTTTGTTCATCAAAACCTTCTCAACAATTATTCACAGTGTTTACACCAAAAAATTCAGTCCTTTTAATAAAACAAAACACGCCAAATGAATAAATATTTCAAATAAACAAAGACAATGAACTTATGTATTCACTTCCTTGCCTGTTTAGATGTGAGAAAAAAATCTAAAGTATTTTAATTATTTGATAAAAGCCTCAGAAAAAGCAAACGTAAACACCAATCCACCATTAAACAACACGAGTAGGAAAGAGACAGGTTCAGGTTACCGTAAATTACAGTGGCTTTATATTCTACAGTGCCGTCGTCTATACTTCTGTCATCTGTCAGAATTTTGTTCTGTGCAAGCGCACAGCTGATTTGATTTGTTTTCTTGAGAGAGAATTGAATAGTAAACAAACTAATAAAGATATTAGGTAGACTAGTAGACATGAAAACTTGGGAAATCCCGACAAAACAAAGGACCTAAAATTAGAAGCAATAGGCAAAACTATACGTTTTAGCACAAAGGGTGAGTCTTTTCTGAAACCTGAAGAATCAACATAGTTTAATGAAGTCTTGTTCCTTTCACTTTTCTCTTTCATTGTTTGAATACCATATATTTCTGAGATTGGTTTTTCTATTGAAAATAGATAGCCTGAATTATATTCCCTATGAAACTATTTCAGGATTGTGTAAGAATGTTGAGAAATATAGGAGTCTTAATTGGTATACTAAACTCTACTGCAGAAATTTTAAAGGTTCCCATGGCCTTGTGAATTTCATTAGGAAGTTTAGTATCACTTTTTTCTGACCTCTTTGGCAACTGTAAATCAAGACCCTGCTTATTTAACAATCTCACCCTTAAAAATTTCATTGATAATTGGAAGAAGCAATATATCTCATCCACTTGTGAAGAACATATTCAAGACACTCAATTACTAATGAATATCCTTGACACTGTTACATATTATATTGAAAGGTGTTTGTACTCAATATCTTGAAATCACTTCCAGAATCTTCTCCTGAATAAATTGGGATGGATGATCCCAGCCAAGAAAACATTGAGTTAGAAACAAATTGGGTTATTGTAGACCCAATTGACATTGCTGAAGAAGCAACAGTATTGGACGCAAGCTTAGAGCTCCAGAAAAAAACTGACTTGGTAGAGTCTGATGTTGAATCTGATGGGATAAGTGTCATAAGTGAAAGTAGCCACCTCCAGGAGAGTACTACAGATGATGAACATTTTCATGATGGTGAAAATTCCAATGGAGTGACTGTGAAAAAAGTGAGTTTCTTTTTCAAATATAAAATGAGGCATAAAATTACACAAATCCTAATAAATTGCACAGTATTCTCATGAATTTGATGATACTATATTGACCTGGAAAAATAGCTCCAGCAGAACTGTTGTAGGTGAAATAAATGCAATTTATTATTATAAACTAATTATATAAACAGTTACAGTGTTTAAGTTCAATTACCATGGTTCACCAATAAAAACAATCATAGTTCAGTCATTCATTTGTCCTTCAATTAGTGAAAATTGGGCTAGCTCAGGAAAAACCAGAAGTGATATTCAATTGATATTTCCTAGAAAGCCAAGAATTTTAATGAATTATCCCTTGAGTCATATTTCAAATATCCAAATTGAAAGACAATTATTGTTATTACCTATAAGTAATGAGTAGTATAGGTACATCATAATATTAACTATTTCAAATTCAGGTACTGCTACTCAAAAGTAGTCATCTGTGATGATTATGAATAATGACTATTGATAATTATATCAATTGAATTTTCGTTATCTTAGCATTTGGCATGAAGTTTTGTTGAAATTGTTTTTCAATTAATTTTTTCAGAAAATACACACATCTGAAGAAAATATGTCACACTCTGGATCTGTGACATGGACTTTTGTTAATTCAGAGGTGGCTCGCCCAGAGTCACCATTATCTGAGAATTCTTCAAAGCAATTCTACTTGAATTGTTTGCAAGAACCTGTCCAAGAGTTATCTGAACATGAACTGGGGTCTATACAGTCTGATCTGGAATCAGACAGTATTAGCGTAATCAGTGAATGTGAATCTCTCAATGAGAATCAATTGCCTTTTGAGGTAAGAAGGGTGAGCATGGAGAACACAAAATTACAGATTGTATCAAGAAACCCTGGCATTCATAAGTATTTTAATGGTTTGATGATTGGTACCATATTGCTAGCTTCTGGATCAATATTCTTGGGACAATATTTAAATATTAATGATTTTATTGAAGAAGAGTTACCTAGTAATTTTGACGATTTTGTTAGTGATATAAGTGCAAGTAGGAATGAGTTGCCTAATAAATATAATGTACCTACAGCACTTTCCTTTTGTAAAAATAAGCATAAAGCCGATGGTATCAACATGCAATACAATATAAAGAAATGTTTAAAAAAAATAGAGAAAAAAATGCAGAAAAAGAAAAATGAATTGAAAAAAACTGAACAAATCCAAAAAATGGAAAAGCATTTGAAAATTAAAGAACTTTACCTAGGCGAGAAGGAGAAATTTCTGATTAAGAAAGAATATGAATTGTTAAAAGTTGAGATGAAACTGAAAAAACAACACTTGAAAAAGTTCCATGAAACTAGTCATGTCCTGAAAATACCAGAAAATCATATCAAACCTGGTGCAGGCATAATATTGTCACTTAATGAAAATGAAAGAGGGGGAGACACTTCCCTAAATTTCAAAGGAGAAAATCATATATATCAGAAACATTTTGACTCAGCAAATGATTATTCCTGGAAACATAAGGAAACTCATAAGAAATATAAAAAATATCGGGAATCTAATAGGAGTAAGGATAATAAGAAACCAGCATTCTCAAAACTCAAATATACACAGTATGATGATGAAAGTAATGAAAGAAATGGTGACAAGGATAGGTTGAATTTCAAGGAGGAGAAGGACATTACTTCAAGAAAAGATCAGTACATAAAAAAGACAGAAAAGTGTAGTAAAAATACACCTGAAACTCAATCAAAGAATAGCCAGGAGAAAAAAGGAGGAAAGTGTGATAAAAATAGACTTCAGATACAATCAAAGAATAACCAAGAAACAAATGAATATAAAAATTATGAAAGCGGCAATAATTATCTTATTCTAGAAAATGGTAGTAATGAGACCATTAGCGGTTATTGGGTAGGAAAACTTTACAAAGCCAGAAGTGATCTCAGAAACAAGGAACACTTGGGAGACTGGTATTTTGATAGAGCATCATACCGTAAGAGAAAACGTGATAAAGCTGGCTGGTACTTTGACTGGATGATGGACCGTGAGGTGCTTAGATACAAAAGAACACATTACATTTGAGAAATTCAAAATTCTGACCCAAAACACATCAGGAGCTCGATTATTTCAAATATATATTGATAGTGTTCCTAGATTATCTATTGTAAAAGTGGAATATCTTAGAATATACCCAATCCAATCCAACAGTCCAACTTTGTTTAGGGCTTTCTCATGCCTGTTTGAATTCCAGTGAATTTTGTGAACTATCCTTGGAATATAGAATTATAAAAAACGTCATATTGATAAATCCATCAAACATGAAATCATTTTAATAGCAAGACACAAATGTATAGTTGTCAAGAAATACATAAAATGTATTGAATAGTGATCAAATTAAACAAAACTATAAGAGCAAGTATTTTTGTAAAGCAGTCAATTATTGTTGCATTATGCAGAAAAATGATTATTACCAAATCTCAGGGTCCTGAGTAATAATTGTCTCAGTTGATTTTCTAAAATTATTTGAAAGTTTAAATAAAAGGTAATGAAGATCAAGGAAAGATAACATGCTGTTTTATTTACTGTTTTGTTCTCCCAGGACCCAGGACTCACTCCTAAATTAGAAGCTCCAATCAATATCTATTTACTTCCTTCCTTCATCCATGATTACATTCATTGGTTTTTCAGAGAATTTTAATGTAATAAAAACTAGTGCACCAAATTGTGTCATCATATTGAGGTAAAACCACATAATATAAAGACATGAAGCATACAAGTTCTGTTTCCATCTCCAGTTCTAATAGAGCACATGTGGCATGAGATGGAAGATATTTATTATAAAAAAGACTCAACAAAGAAGTCACTATATAGGAACATTTGTGACTGCAAAAACACCAATTTTCAAAAACATATAAAAATGAATATGTAATGATATAAATATTATATAGAATTGGCAATTTAAATTAACTAGTTCATTATTTTTTTGATGATTGAAGGTGTCCACCTTGGCTGTTTTGAAGCATCCTGTTCTCTCTTGGCAGCTGCTTGTGCTTCTAAGTCTTCAATGAGGCGTTTCTGTTTTTCCCTGAACTCTGCCACAGGATCATCATATTTACTATAGTATTTTAAGACTTCTCTAACATCTTCAATCTCATTGTCTGCAATAGCTGAAAAAAAAAAATAACCAGTAAATAAGGTTTCAATTTTTTCAGATGATTCCAAACACATCTATTCACTAAGTTCATATTTATTACCTGCCTACCTGCAATAAATTTCCTGATGGCATTTCAGTTCTGAAAATAATTCATCTACCTGGACATAATATTCCCTAATCTTATATTCAATGTACATATGTGAATTTCAACAAAAAATGTTCATCCATTCTCAGAATTATTTACTTGTCAATATTCAACAGATGTGATTTCATCATAACCAAGGGGTAAACCATGATGGAATTCTGGTGTATAAAAAAACTGGAATTCCTAGGAATTACTGGGATATCCTTGGAATTTTTCAGAATTCCTTAGATTCCCTTGAAATTCCCTAAAATTCCTTGGGTGAAGTGCATTATAATTCTGGTCTACAAGCAACTGGAACTCCCTGGGATTTCTTGTGAAATTGAAGTTAAGTGTACACAATTTCAACTGAGGTTCACCACTGGATTAATACCTAGTTAAAATCCAAGAAATATGTGAGGAAAACTTACTTTTCAATAATGCTGCCAAATCTATCAGTGAAGTATCATTGTCATTTCCTGTCCATTTTTTGACATTCAACAGATTTTCTTTATTAAATTTTACACTCTTAGCATTCCAGTCCACACAGATAACTTTTGACAAGTCCCTATTCAAGTTGTTCAAGCTTTTGACATGATGTCCACCAGAGAAATGGGTAGCATCACGTACCAACTTGTAAGCAATTATATTCTTTGGATCTATTGCATCAATAAGGGGAAATACTGTCATTCCTTGCTCAGCAGTGTAAATAACAATCTCATAGGACCCATGTAGAGTTTCTAAGAAGTAGTCCAACACTTGAAAATAACCAAAAATCAACTTCAATCATTAATGGAGAAATGGCAAACAATTAAAATCTTGAATTCTTCATTGAATTTGAATCAGGTGAGGCCACAGGTATGAGACATACAGTTGAAGAACTGTCTGTGAAAATGAAGCACTGTATTTATATTGGTACTAGACTTACATGGACGTTTCTTGAATCTCCATCCTGTATTATATGTCCAGTCAGGATGCACTAGCACATCAGTCAGTTCTAGGACTAGGGTGTATTTAGGTTGTAAATATGGATATTCTAGGGGATCAGGTAATAATTTTTCTCTTGAAGGTTCTCTTATAAGCTGAAAAGATTATTGTTTGAGATGACTATTAGTCACTGTTCAGTTCAGTATTATATATCACCTTGCGATAGTAGTCTAGTTCTCTATAAGTTCTAATGAGATACTGCATTATGATATTTCTATCAGACAAATCATCTTTAATGGGTGTTCCATCGATATCTTTTTCCAAACTACCCAGGGTTAATATAAGATATGCTCCCAAGCATGTAAATGATACACCAAAAAAGGCTAATGTTAGTTTCATTGTCCTCCATGATTGTTCCCTTTGCTTCCTGGCATCCTCCTCATCGATTTTTTCTTGTGACTTTTCTGCTGCATCTTTTGCGATGAGGTTGCTGAGAGGTGAGGTGCCTTTGGTGTCTGAAATGGAAAATTAACACTAAAAATAACAGAACTAGTAATTTATTCTAACCTGCAATTCATTACCTGCTGAATAAAACGCATTCTGTTGGAACTGATGCGGTATTCTTATGATAGCACGACAGTTTTTATAGTCGAAAACTATTTGCGAGTTATATTTCATAAAACTTTGAAATACATTAAAAGATTTTCGAGATAATCGGATCATTTTTACAAGATATATCACATTTTCTAAATTTTGAAATGAAATGTCAGAATGTCACAGTCACAATTGTCAAACTGTCTGTAGACAGGTGACAGGTAGCATGGGACACAGAACACACGACTACAGTCACACGTCAGCATCACAAAACTAAAACCTGTGGGCAGCATTACTGGCATTAGTGTTACCAATGTAACCACAGCACAGATTACCCCACCCAAGAATCACGAACTGGAGGAACTGGTGGAGTGATTCTCCATTGAGTGTAGAATTACTCCACCAGTTCCTGCCAATAATGGATTTCGTTATTAATCTATACAGGGTGTCCCTGAAAGGTCTGTACAAAATGATACCACAGATTCCTGAGACCAAAGTGAGGTGATTGAGAATCAAACTTACCTCTATATCAAGACGCTCCGTTTAGCCGCTACGGGGCGTTGGAATTGAATTTTCATTCTTCATTTAAATGCAACACCCTGTCTTTGAAGAACTCAGTCTTTGAGTTCTGTGGTAGCAGGTATCTGGTAGAAATGCATCAGATTGAATTTGGTCATAATATATAACTTCCCAGCAAACACAGATACATCACAGAGATATCGCAGCGCTGTATCAATTGTGACCTGTGATATCGCATTCTATGTCGCATAGACGTCGCTGCGATGTCAGAGGGATGTTAATAAGTCGCATTCAAGTTCCATCCATGCGACGTCGCTGGGATATATTTATTGCAATGTAATTACGTAATGATACTTATGATGAAAATGCGATGTATTCTTGCGAAAAAACTACGATGTTTTACGAAATGACAGCAGTAAAACGAGAAAAAAAGTTTCTTCAATCATGGCGTGACCATAGGTACACCACCACTTGACTTGCCATCTAATATTCATTATGTGTTATGTGTTGTTGTAACTGGTGGTCCATCATATACTGTCCATTCAATCGTCTTTTCAGCGGCGCTATCCTTGATGATATCAGAATGAGATCAGTTACTTGTATTTGTATCAAAAATCATGTAGTGTGTGTTGGTGAGATGTAAGCAAACCAAGAATAGTTTGATAGCAATAATGTAAGGAATGTTTGTGAATAAAGCTTCACTTTGATGAGTATATATTTATGTGTATTGTTTTCACCAAACAAGAATCTTAATATTCTTAATGACACATTCTTGAAAATATCTGGCTTCCGTACATGGCAGCTCAATAGCTAACAAATAATTGAACATAATAATAATAATTGAAAAAAACAGATTTTAAAAGAATGGACCCAAATTTACTTCATTTGTGGCACAACACTTATGATATGACTTCTGCTGCTGAATGACAAAACAAAATATAACAAAAATTTTAGCATACTTTTTGATTTCAGGTTTCTATTGTATGTCTTGCAATACCTAGATACAGAAAAAATATTCCCTCATATAACTACAAAATTTGCATATCAGGAAAGAAGTCAATTCTTCATTCAGTCTTAGAGGTTTCCTAGTTAGGAACTTAGGAACCATGAGTAGGTATAAAAGAGTGGCTTGGAATAATGATAGATATGTATATTTTGTAAATAGAACAGTAACAAAATAATATAAATATACCTACAATATGGATGGAATAAGTTTCTTCAGTATAATTTTATCACAAATATAAACTACCTATATTATTCATTAATCAAAGTGTAGAAGGCTCAAATCAACACCATGGAAGTAAAACCAACAGACATATAATACCTACTTCTCAATGAAAGGTACTATCATGTAGGTACTGCTTATTTCAATTATTTAAAAAAAAATCAGACTATTGATGATGGATGATGATATAGGTAATGTAATTTTATCCACATACATCATGTCCCATTTGAGAACACTACAGGAATCTCCTCCCAAACTATAGTTAAAATAGTTACAAAATAGGAAGTCCAATAAAATACTCCTGTAAAATTAGTAATCATCATTCCATTATAAAACACTTGAAATTACTGTTCAGGAGATCCCTGTACTGCAAACATGGGTAAACATTGAAACACCAGACTAGTTAGTAATTTGATGGTGCCAGAACTGCCAGACAAATGTCATAAGTTCAAATAGAGACAAAGACCATTTTTTTTATAACTAGGATCAGGTTTTCAACATAACCACATATGTAAAACTATTCTTAAATTATACTACTAAATAGATCTATGGATATTTGGGATATATATATATAAATAATATGAGATTAGAGACTTGGACGGAATTATAATATCATTTATAAATGATAACTTTGATATTCAATAAACTAGATTTTCTTCTGTTGATTGTTAATTAGCAGGAGGTTGCTCTGTGGGGTTTAGTCTGAAATATCTATCAATGTTATCTATGAAATAGTTTGATATCATTCTATTAAATTACTACTACTGAGATTTAATACTAAAAATTATCAACATTTTGATAATCCTTGTACTTATTTGATTTTCCTAGTTCCTGTATTGACAATACATGATGGTATTTGGTGATTTGAAGAATAATATCATGAATTTGAAAACAATTTCTTAGTATGAAAAGGCACTGTATATGAATAGTCAAGATATTTTTTGAACATCCATACAAACTAGGAGACAGATCAGTCATCAATTCAATTATTTAAATATTAATTCTACTTCATAGCTGAATATAATACTGCTATAAGTATCAGTACAGGATATTTATTTGTTGGCATTGTTCCAGAATGTTCACTAATTTCCTTGAAAAGTAGCAAAATATTGGAACATCAAAATAATGCCCTTGGCAATATAATCTGATATCAACTCCACATATCCAAAAAACAAATAATCATGTGGATGAGATGTTCTGGTGTCTCAATCATAGCCAGATGTCCTGCATTAGGTATCAATTCCAAAAATGCCCTTGGAATAGTCTGGCAAAAAAAACAAAAAATACAAAAATTTGATACATTTTTTTTTCAAGTCAACTCACCCTTTCAATTTCACACTCTTGAACCAAAGTGACATGCTTGTCCTGTAACCCATGGATGAGAAGTGTGGGAGCTAAAATCCTTCTGTGGAAAGCAGCATCTCCTTCTGGCCATCTCTGACCATATGCAATATTTTCTATAACATGCCTTGGCAGCCCATGTTCCTCATCACATACTTTAAAATGCTTCCCTCTTGATGAATAGAAGAAACTTCTGTGAACACAAGGCATCAGTTTCATATGTCTCAGCCCTTTCCCTTCTTAAATTAATGTACTAACCTTTTCAGACCACAGTACAGCAATGGGCTGAGGAGTGTGTGAGCACATCCAAAAAGTGATATTTCATTATCTGTCACTGGGGGAGCTAAAGGTGTAGGCCCTCCACCACTAATCAGAATAAGCTGTGCAATTTGTTGAGCTCTATGAGGGTACATAGCAGTAACCAAACTACACCTGAAAAATGTTACCATGAAAAACTTCAGCATACAATACTACTTGCTGAAAGCTTATTCTGTTCATACCCATATGAATGACCAATCATTATACACTTGCGTCTCTCATTTGTCATATAATGATCAAATATTGTGAGGGCTTGGAGCAGCAGACTTTTGAAAGTGTAATAGCTAGATTTGGTTGGAGCTGAACTGAAACCATGTCCCAACATATCAGGGGCAATAACTTCATATCCTTTACAGACTAATGTATTTATTACTATAGACCAAATATCTGCAGATGCTCCAATACCATGAAACATCATAATTAGTGGCCTCTGGAAAGAATCAAGAAATTTATTAGGATGCCATTCCAGCATGAATAAATTCTAACCTTTTGTACTTTCTGGTGAACACAATTTATTTTCAAGTTATCAGTAGAACAATTGCTAGCTCTTATAACAGGTATATCATTAGCATTTTTAATGGATTTGATTATTGTATTTGGTTTGATTTTTCTTCTCAAAGTGACCACTACATCATCAACTTCAGTTGTTTCATAACCAAAGTTGGTTTCACCAAATTCTTTACTTTCTGATATGTAAAATTCATGAAATGCTTCAAAGAATGTGTCCTGTATGAGACGTTCCACATAAGTTTCAACATTGGTAATCTTGATAGGTGGTAGATCAACACTCAGCTTGCTGGAAAATGTTGAAAAAATTTAAATGTTTTTAACCAGACATTTCAAATCCCATCTGCAAGGCAAGATACAATACTTACCCAAGTTTGTCATTTTCTCTGTTTTGTGCTGAAGCTGGTTGATTGGAGATGAGAGAATACCTGACAGATCTTCTAAATGAACAATTGCAGTTACCAATTTTCAGAGGTTTGTTCCATTTGGTGAACCAATATTCTTCAGACAGAGAAAATCTTTTTGAACTGCCAGAATCAAAGTGCAATGGCTGTGGTAACAAATGAGATTTATGAACATTTGTAGGGCTTACATGTATTACACGAATTTGTATCTTAGAATCAATCACTATGAATTCACAGTCCTTTGAAATTGTTGCATCGGCAGGATAAATTTGATGACCAATGTTCAAAATGGAAAGCAAGGAATGCCAAGAATCCAACACTTTGGGAATGCAGCCATTGGCCTCTGGTATCACAGCTTCATTCATTTTCCAACAAACTATGTTACACCCATTCTTGAATCAGCAATTAAACACTTTCAAATGGCAACCTACACTTTAATAAACTTCTGTGTCAACATCACCATATTCAGAAGAATCTGATACCAATTTGTTAAGCTCTTTGAACATTTCGCAAACATTCATGAGACTTCAGCTGCAGGAAATGTAAACATCTCAAGAATATGTTGCCAGGAAATATTTTTCAATTTTTCGTCGACCGAACGTGACCCCCAAACAAACGTGTATTTTTTTAACTTGTTGATTTTGTGTACCGTTTTCTGTCAGATATGATCCAGGTTAACTAACCTTGAATTGATCATGATCACATAAGGTGTTTTCAACTGGCCTATACAGTGCACCTACTCCAATACCAGTAAAACAAGTACAACCGAACATAACAGTGCAAACGTCGACTAATCTCTGAATTCTGAATCAACTTCTGTCTCGATAGGTAACGAAATCAATCAATAGGCGTTGATGCCGACGTAGGGAAAAAATAATACAAAACTTGTCAAACTAAAATACGGCTGTTTCCATCCTTCACTTTCTGTCCTTATAGATTCAAAAAGTACCTCTGCGGTCTCATTTTTGTTGAGATATCCTATAGGTGATGCGCCATATATAGGAATAGTACATATATGACTAATCTCTGGTGCAATGCACACAAATGTGAAATTGGAAGTACATTTGGTTCCGTTGGTCCACATGAAATGGAATCTCGGAACAGCAGAATTTCAGGAATGTCAGTGGCACTACTGAATCCTGTCACATCCTGTGGACAGTGGGGCATGAACCAAGTTGAATTCGGAAAATAGCCATTGATGGAAACAAGTAGAGACTAATAATAACAATCCAAAATGCATGTTGACAAACTTCTTTCGTGAATGAACCGTGATTGGGTTTTCTCAATTTTTCATACTTCATACTATATAATTTTCATGTACTTCCGTGAATTACTTCTTGTACTTTCGAATTCCACGCTGGCGATTCGTGGGTTTAATTTCTTTGATGCTAAACTTTTTTTATTCATGATTTCTCAAGTGCATTCAACAGGAAGGTTCATTTCATCCAAGTATAGTTAGAATGTTTAATAAAAGTAGTCTCCTTTCCTATGCAGAAGGGATATTGTCCTTTCCCCTCTAAAAAAGTACTTCTGTTGAGGACGATAGTGATACGCTATTTCAATGATTATTTTTCAGTAAATTTCCAGTAGACTTGATTCTGCGCCAATTGAGGCTATTGGCTATTATTTACTATGATGTCAAAACATTCGTTTTTCAAATTTACCGTCAATATCAGTGATTTTGATTTACCGCCATTGCCAAAATCGTTCTGATTAGTCTCCTATACCATAACAATACATATGTTTGGGCAAAGCGAATTCGTGCGACAGTGGAAACCGTGGAAACACTACCTAGGTTCAAGGTTAGTGAGCACTATTATTTGTTCCAGTACCTCTGTTGTTTTATGTTCTATGAGTTCATACTTCAAACTTCATAATCATAAATAATAGTTTGTTATCCAGCCGCAAGCCGTTTGTGGCTGCGATTTTTTTTATAGCTTGGTTTTCAGCTGATAAATTATAAAAAAGTTGATATAGGGGGAAAAGTTTTGCAAAATTGGTTATTTTTTATAATGTCGGATAACGAGGATGATTTCATGTGTGACGATGAGGAGGATTATGGCTTGGTATGTAAAAAAAATTAATCATTTCTTGATCTAACCTATAAATTGTTGACATTTGTGATATAAATAAATTCTAAAATTTTGAATAGGTACCGGAATATTTCAGTAAAAAATATTTTCCAGGAGTATTCTGAAGACAGTAATTCGGAGCCAGATGTAGATTTGGAGAACCAGTATTACAACAGTAAGGCATTGAAGGAAGATGAACCTAAGGCAGCCCTGGCATCATTTCAGAAAGTTTTGGATCTTGAAAGTGGAGAAAAAGGAGAATGGGGATTCAAAGCTTTGAAACAGATGATTAAAATTAATTTCAAATTAGTATGCTCACTTTGAATGATTATAGTTTGAACCAGTCATAATAGATAATTATTTTGCAGGGAAACTTTGAAGAAATGATGAATAGGTATAAGCAACTTCTCACTTACATCAAAAGTGCTGTTACGAGAAATCATAGTGAAAAATCCATAAATTCAATCCTTGATTATATATCAACATCACGTAATGTAAGTGTGCCTTGTTGAATTTTACAAATTAAATAACATGTCATAATTATTCCAGATGGCACTGCTACAAAACTTTTATGAAACAACTCTAGAAGCTTTGAAAGATGCTAAAAATGACAGACTATGGTTCAAAACAAACACAAAACTTGGAAAACTATACTATGATAGAGGTGATTTCAACAAGTTGGCAAAAATACTGAAACAGCTGCATCAGTCATGTCAAACTGATGATGGTGAAGATGATCTCAAGAAAGGAACTCAGCTATTGGAAATCTATGCACTAGAAATTCAAATGTATACTGCACAGAAAAATAACAAAAAACTGAAGACTTTGTATGAACAGTCCTTACACATCAAGTCAGCCATACCTCACCCACTCATCATGGGTGTAATTAGAGGTAAGAAGCCATATTCAGTTCAAACTCGTTTTATTTTGATTGATAGGTATAAACTTAATGTATCCTTGTTGTAGAATGTGGTGGTAAAATGCATCTAAGAGAAGGGGAATTTGAAAAGGCTCACACTGACTTTTTTGAAGCCTTCAAAAACTATGATGAATCTGGCAGTCCACGAAGAACTACTTGTCTGAAGTATCTGGTGCTTGCAAATATGTATGTGTTTTGTATTTGTAACCTCAGAATTTATCTTGGAATTCCTAAATCTCCATTTAGAAGTCCATAAGTCATACTACTTCAATCATTTTGTCCATAAGTCATACTACTTCAATCATTTTGATGAATCTTGATCAAGAAAAAATGGGGAGAGCAGTATTTAAATGTAGAATTCTGTATTTACTATTTATTATCTAGTATTTTGATTTTTTTCAGGTTGATGAAATCAGGAATCAATCCTTTTGATTCACAGGAAGCTAAACCATATAAAAATGATCCAGAAATATTAGCCATGACCAATTTAGTAAATGCATACCAGAATAATGATATAAATGAATTTGAATTTATTTTAAAACAAAACAGGCAGAATATCATGGATGATCCATTCATTAGAGAACATATTGAAGGTAAATACATTAGTGAAAAAATGAAGAGATGCAGTCAATATAATTCTCTTTTTGCAGATCTGCTGAGAAATATCAGAACTCAAGTGCTGATAAAATTGATAAAACCATATACTAGAATACAGATACCATTCATCTCAACAGAACTGAATATTGATGTTTCTGAAGTAGAAAGCCTTTTAGTTTCTTGTATATTAGATAAGTGAGTATTCTGTTTTTCAAGTGCTATGTGGCAGGTAGACCTTGACAGTATTTTCATCCACCAAAACCTTTTAATCTTGAACACCATCAATATTTATTGTAATACTTCTTCAAACAGGTATTTTGACTAATACTCAGAATATACCTCTCTACTTGATATTTTTGAATAAGGTATATATTCATTAGATATCTCCAGAGTAATCAAATGATTGAAGGATTTTGAATACAATAAAAATATCTAAATAACTAGCAATTACTTGAAACAATTTGGATATGTTGAACAAATCTAATATTGGAATCATAAGAATCTGAATTATCACTGTGCTAGAATATAGTCAAAAGTAGTCAAAACATTTTCAGCTACTCTGAAGGTATATGTATTTGGATAGTCATGATATATTCTGATATTACAGCTACAATGTTATAAGATCATTTCCTAACAGGTAACAGGTGTATTCATCTAATGAATACTTCTGATATTCCATTATTTCAGATGTTCAGAAAGTATTATTTAGTATTTATGTGGATTCATTTTTGAAGTATTTGACCAGCTATGAATTTATTCTCTAGTTATTTGGATATGGTGGTGCAGGGTCCTGCATGGTACTTAATAGGGATCGACCGATACCGATATTTATATCGGCGTATCGGTGATATCGGCCTCATTGGCCGATTATCGTATCGGCCGATATCAAAAATCGATAGACCGATATATTTTTTTATTGGGAAAAAAAATCAATTTGAAGAATGAATTAAAAAAATACACTTCCATCAAAAATATATCTTTATTACCAATAAAAAGTATGTAATGTAAAAACAACTCAATTCTTTGACTAGTGATTAAAAATTAATAAAATAAAACCCTATGCGGATTGCAACTGTAAGGTAAAATTATTTCACCTTACTAAAATACAAAAATAACTGATTAATACTGATAATTTAGTTTTAGTAGGTTGTGATGCAAAAACAATAAGCTTTCTGCCCTAGCCTGCTACGTTTTGCATCATAAATATTACCAGCTTCAGAGAAAACTTGTTAACGGCCGATAGACCGATATATCGGTATATCGGTATTTGAAATATCAGTATCGGCCGATTATCGGTATCGACTAAAATTTCTATATCGGTCGATCCCTAGTACTTAAACATATATTTTTCTTGATTTCAGCACCATCCAAGGGCGTATAGACCAAGTAAACCAAGTGTTGTTTTTGGAGAGGGCCACAGTCAACCAGGCAAGATACAGTGCTTTAGATAGATGGGCGAATCAATTGAACACATTACATTCGTCCATAATAAATAAAATGGCATAATTTGAATCATTCTAACTGATGAAGAAGTGATAGCGCTTTGCGCCTTTTATTGATATGTTTAAATCATTTTTATCATCCTATTATTTCCTTAACAGACTTTTTTGTCAAGAGTTGTTTTTGCATGACTCTGGAGCTCCCATATTTTCATACCCACTGTGGAATGTTCTTGGTTTCCTTATTGATAAAAGACAAGAAACAAACATCATTTGTACATAATATAATTGATTATACAGGGTGATTCAGGTTTTAAGGCACAAACTGAAATGGAAGATAGATCTCATCATTTTAATCAAAAAAGTTTATATAAACATTAGTCCGATCTCGTTCAATAGCGGAGCTACAGGGTGTCAAAGCTGAATTATTTTCTTCTATTAGTTGAAATATCTCGCTTACTTGTCAAGATATCGTTTTGAAATTCGGTGTGGTCAATACTCCTTAGAAGATGATCATTTCAAGCCATCTAAAGATTTTCAAAATCTACAGGGTGATACGTTTATGGGGGTAGACGCTTCCTTATTCCCCTCAAACTTTTCCGTAATACGCCTCTGGCATCTTTCAGTGATCAAATTATGTGGATCGTTCAATTTAGATGGTTTTTTCGCTCTTCAAGTTTTCTCGGGAAGCGAACCGTTTTTGAGATATATAAGCATATACGTTCTAAAACATGTTAATTTTGCGTGTTTCACTTGAATTTTATTCAACTGAAAAAAAAACCTTGACTTTTTACCATCTGTATCCCCAATTCTGATCCAGATTGGACTCGTGATTGCAATTTTAGTGAGTAAATTTCATTGCATTTTCAACGAAAATAAAATTTAAGCGAAACATAGGCAAAATTAACATATTTTAGAACGTATATGCTTATTTATCTCAAAACCGGTTTGTTTCCCGAAAAAAATGGAAGAGCGAAAAAGCCTGTAAATTGAACGAACCACACAATTTGATCACTGAAAGATGCCAGAGGCGTACTACTAAAAAGGTTGGGGGGGATAAAGAAGCCTCTACCCCCGAAAACGTATCTCCCTGTAGATTTTAAAAATCTTTAAATGGCTTCAAATGATGATCTTCTAGAAAGTATTGACCAGACCAAATTTCAAAACGATATCTTGAAAAGTAAGCGAGATATTTCAATTAATAGAAAAAAATAATTGAACTTTGACCCCCTGTAGCTCCGCTGATAAACGAGATCAGACTTATGTTTATATAAACTTTTTTGATCAAAATGATGAGATGTATCTCCCATTTCAGTTTGTGCCTTAAAACCTGAATCACCCTGTAGAATAAAATCTTGCTGCTGCATGTTTGTGATCGAATTTTCATCAATTCAACTTTGTGTTTCCAAAACTGAAAATCTAATTAATTTCAGCTAAGAATGGTATAATCTCAGAATTTGATGATGTTCATTGAAGGAAAGTATTGTTTTTTTAAATAATGTGCCTGTTTAGCATATTCAGCCAACGGCGACATCGAATTTGATTGAACATTTCTTTGGTTTTCCAAGATAAAATCTTTTGGGAAATTTCATCAATTGTCTTAAGATTTCAAAAATCACTTATTTTCATAAAACAACTATTTGTGGTAGTTGTTTGCATCTGTGTGTTGTTAATGATTGCATAATTTGTGATTTTGTTTTTCATTGAGCTCCAGAGAATATTGCAATACACCATTCAATGTTTGCTAATAATTTCAATTCAGGTATCCTCATAAAGTAATAATTATTTATTTGAGTTGTTTCAGTGTCCTGTTTGAAGTTTATATTATTGAATGATCTATTGAAATCCGGTCTACCATTCTAACTTTCAGTTATGTTGAATTTTATATCTCCCATGCCTTACTTTTTTGCTTTAATTTTTCTGGATATATCCCAAAAACATTGATGAGTCATTGTTATGTTTGAGAGGAAGAATTATCACCACATGTGTTGATAACTGTGCCACCAGGTGCAGTAGAAATATAACATAAAGTTAGGGAATGTTGATCTTTCCTTGATCATTCAATTACCAAAGCCTCACAAAGGAATCCAAATACTCAAAATACTTTCAGTTATCCCTTTCATTGATGATTCCTCAATGTTCATTCAAGGAACTGATTCTGGCATTGGCCGAACAATAAGTACCTACCTATATTTATTTGATACCTACTATAAACAGGAGGTATACACCAGCTGACGTTTATCTTTACTGGTCATTCAATAAATGTTTTAATTCAAAACTACCCATATTTTGTTTGTTTTTTTGTAATTGTTAACATTTTCTAATAAATAGGAATTTATTCATTTTACTGATTTATACATTTTTACTGCCCTCTGAGATTTCATCATAATTCTGTCATAATTGAATTAAAAGTTCAACTGGTTCAAGTGAACAATTTCGAAATCGTGTTGGTTATGATAATTGAAAATTATTTTTGAAATAATTTATTTATTTATTTTATTTATTTAATATTAATACATCCAGCAGGCTTACGCCCATTTACAGGTGTATGTTATAATACATGGTTATTAGTTGGATCGCTGAAAATATATACCTATATCTATACATAACTCGAAAAGAATATAAACTAAGATATGTGAAACTAGTTCCTCAAGGCACTAAATAGTCTATGCTTGAATTGAGACAGCGAGAGAAAAATACTTTGTAAATTGTTGTAACTTCGGCACATTGTTTTAAGGGGACAATGGAAGTGATGTTGTGTGTTGGGCACAGCAATGCGGAACGTTATATCTGATCTTGACACGGATCATGCGTACATGGAAATCAATCAGAGAAAGTAATGAGGATGAATCGATATGATTATGGATTATTTTATGCATAAAAGTTAAATCGATTATTTCGCGATGTTTTTTAAGAGAAAATAAATCGAATTCGTTCAGCAATAGGTCATAGCTATAGTGTCTTTGAGGATACACGCCATATTTTTTATAGTATGCATATTTCAAAAACTTTCTTTGCACTGATTCAATGGCTTCAATATATTTGGAATTACATGGATTCCATACGACACTACAGTAATCTAATTTACTTCTCACCAATGAGAAGTAAACACTGCGCAAAGCACCAAATGATTTGAACTCCTTACAGGCACGAATCAAAAATCCCAAAGACTTCATAGCTCTGCCTATCACACTTTCTATATGAGTGGAGAATGTCTACTTTTGGTCAAAAAGAACTCCTAAATCATTGAATTGTTGAACTCGTGCTAGTTGTGAAGTATACAAGTGATAATCGAATGAACTTGGTGTAGATTTTCGTGTGAAAGTCATGACTTTACATTTATTGGTATTCAAAGAGAGTTTATTTTTGAGGCACCAATCATTGATTAGATCAAGATCCAGTTGTAATAGTTGACAGTCATCAATAGTTTTAATCTCTCTGTAGATTTTCATTTCATCAGCAAATAGTAGTTTAGCAGACTGGATACGATCACATATATCATTGATAAAAAGTAAGAACAGTAAAGGTCCTAAATTGGAGCCCTGTGATACTCCTGAAGTTGGTGTCTGGTCAGGTCTAATATATATTTTGTTAAACTTCTCAACTGATTGTAGTTTTCTGCTATTTTTAATGAGAATAGGAACAGCAATTTTATTGGGCAGTGTGAGTTTAACTGGGCGAGACTAATTGGTAGAGATACGACCAAGTCTATGTACTTCAGTGCCATTACCATTGAAATCAGGTACAATATGAGATGCTGCTTCACACACAAAAATTGTTCAGGTTTTCCACATCTTCTGGAATTCCAAAAATCAGTACATTATTTTCACGTTGTCTCATATCACTCATTTTCTTCAATATATCAATAGTATTTTGGGAATTCCCAGGAGAATCCTTAACTTTTTTCCCCAATGATTCGATTTTATCTGTCAGAGATTTTATTTCGTTTTTATGACCTTCCTTCAGTACCTGCATATCGGCATTCAGTTTATCTATTTTTGCTTCTAGTAAACCAAACTTTTTCGTCAAGATTTTTTCAATCCCATAACAATCCCCAATATTCAATTTTTGAGGAAAAAAGTCTATTCTGCATCCATCTGAGGCGATCCATCTTACAGTGGAGTGAAGGCGATAGGACAGGAAGAAATTCTGACAGTCTACTCCATCAAAACTATACTTTATTGTAATCAAACATGTTTCGTCATAAACCTTTGGTATGATCAACAAGAACTATAAGATGGTCGTTCAGTTTTCAATTTGATTCTTATTGGATATTGCACCATTTACTTCTATAAACCACCAGTCCCTTAACGTAGGTGATTCGCAATAATTGCGGTCCCTCTATTTTACTTTTTCAACTATGTATATGTGAATTTTTTTTGAATTTTGTTGTAATATGTGATCATAAGTTATTCCTCCAGAACAGTACTCCTATATGTAACTAAAAGCTGATTATGAAGCTTTGAAGCTTCGAAACATGTCCCGTAATTTGATTACAATAAAGTATAGTTTTGGTGGAGTAGACCATAGATTAACGACTCGTTAATCTATGAGTCCTATGAGTCCTGTTCTATTCTGCATGGTTTACAGAGTTTCTACAAATTATAGGGTGACGAAGGGCGTAGTTAATTGTTAGGTACCTCAAAGAATAAATAGGTATTCAAACAATTATTATATTATATGTGGTACCTTTTGAAGGGGTTTTATTTAGGGAACTGTGGATATTAATTGAATTTTACCATTTCACCTTCCTAACTATATGTGCTTTTTAGTAATACTCAGGTCCTTTTTCCTCTTAGAAGATGAGCAGGATGAGCTAGGGATCTTTAGTTAGAATAACATCCCTGCTTTCCTATTGACCTTGATGATTATACCGGGTGTGACAGGATCATATGGTAGGTACACCCCCTTTTTCTCCTTTAGTTTTAGAGATGAGTGATTGAAATTTGGCATGACGCATCAACTTGATATTTCACGTTTTGACATAAATATGTTTTATTTTCCGGTTCCACCAAAAAGGTGGTAATAACTTTTTATTATCAAATGGAACACCCTGTATATCATTGCAAATTCAACTGCTGCATCATTTTCTGAATCCAATACCACATAAAAGTGACATTTCAAACTTAAATATTGATTTTAATTTTATTTTTGATTTTCCATCTAAGTGTGCCATGACTAGAAGTCTGATATTTATAATCATATCGACAAGTGTAGTACTGAAAAAAATGGAATCCTTATAATGTAATTTTTTTTTTGATGTATCAAATATAGGAAAGATCGGGGAGTTCATTCAATCGGGCTAAAAGCAGCTACTTCATTATTACACCCGGTATAGTGAATAAACCCTTTATGTAAACCATTTTGTCTAGGCAAAGATAGGCAGAAATCTCATGTTTAGGTACCTATCTGATACCTATTTCCACAGAAGCTTTCAGATGTCGCTACTGGAAAATTTCACTAAACATCTGTTTAGGACGTGTGTGTTTAAGACAAATTCGATAAGAATAGGTTGTTGCAAGGTTTTGCAAAAGAAAAATCTGGCGACCGGTCAATTTTATTGAAGGCGCAAAAGAGTATACCCAATACCTATAATATACAGTATGATCCTAAATTATGGATATATGAAACGGAGGGTGTCACAAGAACATTGTTCACCCTCCTTTTTTCCTCAAGTTTTAGAGATATAGGTAGGTACTAGGTAGGTTCTTATATCATAGGAATTATAAAAAACCTAAATATAGTTCATAGACCTTTAACATTTTTACATGACATTTTTTGCACTTTTGGTTTAAAATTCTGCACTCTTTATTCAATGCTACCACATAAAGGGTAGCATCAGATATACATATATATATAAAAAAATACTGTTTCGTCTGCCGATATTTTGGTAAAAAAATGCAGTTTCTCGGAAACATTTATTTGAACTTCCTCCATAAACCTAGCTTATAGTCTAACAACCCTCAAATTCATGGACTTACCAATATGAATCATCTCGTGTATACATATGTAGGTATGTATGTATTTTGTATAGCTACATGAACTTTTGCTGTATATACATACGGGGTGAGTCATGTTTTTGAAGCAGACCTTCAAGACCTTGTAGAATACATATTTACAAGATGATAATTTCATGAGAACATTGAAAATATTCGTGGTAGCTTTCGTTTCCGATATCCATTTATATATATGTGTCGAAGTTTGAG